TTGATCCATCTTCAAGATTAGTGCTTCTTCAGATATGGTCATAGAACCCCAAGGGGTCTCCCAAGACCATCTCAGAGGTCTCTGTAATCAAAATCATTTGCCAGATATTGAAGACACTTGCAAAATTTAAAATAATATCACTCTTCATTATTATTTTTCATTTGTTAAAAATAGCCTTTTATGAAAATATATACAATTGTTCCAGAATGCAACAGCACAGCTAGTTTTGGAGGCGCCTAGGGTTGCACATGTAACATCACTGTTATGTGAGCTTCATTGGTTGCTAATCAGCGTCTGGGTCCAACACAAAGTTTTCATTATGACTTTTAAAACCCTCTATAGCATGAGTCCAGGATATCTATGGAACCATCTTTTTGCAATGGGACTGACTTCCCTTTCCCCACTCGTGGTAGCAGAAGGCCTAGCGTGGACTCCATCAGGCAAGGAATTTCAGCTGGTGGATCCAGAGGAAAAGCCATTTCTGCCATGTCCCCCATCCTTTGAGACATCTTGCCACAGGGGGTGAGGTATGCTCCCATGTTTTAAAGGGCTTCAGGAAAACTCTTAAAATTTGGCTATGCTGGCTAGCATGAGGCCCTAAAGAACCTGATGGCAATAGAGGGTTGGAGCAGTAACAGAGAAGCCATCACCACTTCTCTAGTCCAAACCTGTGATTTTTTAAAGTTTATTTTAATGTTTTGTAGTTTAAATATTTAATGTTTTGTAGTTTTATATTCATAATTATTTTGACACCTGCATGTTTTATCTCATTATAAGCTGCTCAGAGTCACCTCAAACCACAAGATGGGAGACAAGTGCAGTTTAAGAAGAGGAAGCAAAACAACTTGTCACTCAAGGTGACATAGAAATTATTATTGTGGCAGGTATTTTTAGTATATTATTAACTTCAAAGTTTATACTACTGTTTGTTAATTTTACGATCAATTAATCATACAGAATTTGCACCAGAGGCATAATCCTATGCATGTAAATTTAGATTCTCTGTGACCACCTCAATTGACTGTCTTTAATTGTTGCTATAAATCAATAAGATGCTGGGTTAGAATGAAACCAACTGGTATTGAGGTAATGATTTAACATTAAGAGAATAAATCCTAAGGCTATGTAAGGTGAAACCACACTTACCTCCATGGGAAATGCTTTAAAATTAACTGTGTGTTCTGAGCCACGCTGATTTTCTCTGCCCCAGTGAAATCGAACATTGTGAAGTTCAAATTCATGGCCCCGAGGTAATGGGCCTCCCACTAACACTGGAAAAGAGCACAATACAAATTATAGCAAGTGATATTCATGGCTAGCAATTTTCCAAAACCCCTCTCAACAAACTGTTGGAAAATTGCTTCTCTTTGGGCAAAGGTCAAAAGTGAAAACTGCAGTGGAGTTCACACTTAATACAGCTGATAGAGCAATAGTTATACTATGCAAATAGTATCCGGTTGCATTATTTTATTGTTGCAATGTCATCATTTTTCTTAGAGAAAAATATATGTTGAACTGTGTTTATGAAAAGAAACTATACTGTACAAGAGGTCCGTGTTTTACTGTGTGACATTTGCCTTGAGACTACATTTGGCCATCTGAATACAAAAATGAAATAAGTAGTAACAAGCAGTGGCTGAACACACATTACTGTAACCCACAATGTGATCTGTTGGCTGTAACTTTACATACTGTCTGATTTCAGCCACTGAGGCTCATTCAACCAATTGTAAACAAAACATCACACTTGAGCTCCATGTGTGAGTCCTGCTAATATATAACAATGAAGATTGATCAGCTATTCAAAATTATTTGATAGAGAGAAGCAACAAGAGGCAAGTAAATCTCAGATGCATACATTCTATAAAGCTGTATTGAGTAACCACAATATGTTAAATTTTAGAAGACCCCCATCAAATGAGAAACTAGTTTAGATGGTCTCTCTCTCAGTAGACATTTCATATAAATATACTTGAGGGATAAGTATTTTAAGCTGCGTGTTTCTCCTGTGTTAAAACTATATAATAGTAAATGTATGCAAATGTTACAAAAAACAAATTAGTCTTCAATTACTTCTTTCCAGCCAGACGCAGAAATAGCAATAGCACTTAGATTTATATACCACTTCACAACACTTTACAACCTTCTAAGCGATTTAAAGAATCAGTATATTGCCCCCAACAATCTGAGTTCTCATTTTATTGACCTCAGAAGGATGGAAGGCTGAGTCAACCTTGAGCCTGGTGAGATTCAAACTGTCAAATTGCAGGTAGCCGGCAATCAGCAGAAGAAGCCTGCAGTACTGAACTCTAACCACTGCACCACCACGGCTCTTATGTTGCTCAAGCTATTCATTGGAAGTTTGGAAAGTAATTTTTTAAAACCAATTTTTCATAAATATTGTGGATGAAAAATGAGACTGACATTATAAAACAGTATATTTTGAGGTTTTCTGGGGAGATTACCCACACACATATAATTTGTAAGTATTTTTTATTTTATTTTAAGCCTGTGGAGTTTTGCTTATTATATTCTGCATAACTAAACAACTGTCTTAGAAGGAAAGCATGTTTGATAGATTTATATAATGTTGAACTTCGTAATCTTACTTCAGCCTGTAAAAGATAAGGGTCATGGACAAAGCAAAACATCAGTCAGCCTTGGATCTGGTACATAAAAACATAGGCTTTAGGGCACACAGTTTTGACTCTTTTTCCCCTTGATAACAACAACAACAACAAAAAACCAGACTGCTAAATTAAAGGTGAATCTGTAAATTTTGAGATCAAGAAATTTACTGTATATTTACTTCATCTATCATATTGTAATAAGACCACTCTTTAAAAAATGGGAGGGAGATGAAATCCTAAATTTGAAATGTTTTTTTCTGCCAAACCACCCAAAGTATGCGTCAATTCTGGAAATTTTTTTTAAAGGATTTACCTTTATCTCTGTGCTTCACTAGGTTTGACATTCCCCCCTTTGACACAAATCCAGTTATCCATACATATACAACATATGCCTCTCTCCAGGTTGTAATTGGATGAGGTCTGGTGGATATAATTTTCCATTGATTTCTGTTCCTAATTTTGGAGAATATCTAAAGTGGACTTAAAAACTTTCCTGACTCAAAGCTACAAGTTACCAGGACAGTTTTTCTTCTAATCATAATGAGATTTCTTTTTGTCTAACCCCAGCTGCCTTGTATCATTTAGAACATTGCCAAGAATATGATAAACACTATTTTTTTGTATATAATCAACTCTGAATGCTGGCAAAGGAATGTTTGTTTAAAATGTATACTAGAGAGGATAATTTTCTGAGCTCTTTTCTGTTTGAAAGAGATATAAAAGTTGTATATTCGTATCTTCTATTTGCACACACATTACACATATGTTTCCTGGTGAAGTGAGGTTTCATTCCTTTCACTCCCAGCAATCAGCCATCATCTGCTTTTCCAAGCAACCTTTGAGTTACAACAATATGTAGCTAATATCTCCATGAGTTTCACAGGATGCCTTCTCTATACTGTTCACTTGGGTTATATACATGAAAGTAGAGAAGTAGGAATTTAATATTCTCTAAACAGGCATTCTATAAACATATTTAACTATTGTTCATAGTTAACCAATTACCAGGAGTGCCCTCTACTTCCTAGGATGGATTCTGACAGATTATTTTAAATTATTACCATGAGCAGCAGATTGGACTTAATGTCTACATTCAGTTCTCTGATTCAAATAGAATATTTCTCAATATGTTCCTACTATTGATAGTAATGATAAGTAACATAATTTTAAAATGAAACAATGGGTGCTGGTATTAGTTTGGTGTGACTGCTGATGCTTGTACCCACTTTATTAATCTATTATCATTGTAGTTTGTATTTTTTAATTGACTTATGTGGGGACTGTATGGGTGAGCGGCTGTGTATGTCTGAGAGGACTGGGAGTACAGCCTGGTGCCTCCTCCACTGAGTGCTATTGCAGAAGTGGTAGGGGCCCCAGGCCTATCTCCCGTCCTAGAATGATTGATATAAATGGCCTGCCGGAGAAAGCGGAGGCTACCGGGGGGGGGAATGGGGTCTACGGGTGCGGGGGTGGGCCGGAGCATTACGGTCATGACTGGGAGGGGCAGGTACGACGGGAGCTTCAGGGCTAGCCATTACCGGGGAAGGAGGGTCCGCTACATCACAGTGATCC